ACTGCGACGATGCTGAGGAAGAAGAGGAGGACAGGGAGGTGGCTCGGTCGCGGTTCTCGGTGGTTGGAGCACTGATCGCAGACCGGAAGATCAACTTTGCAGGCCTCAAAGAGGCGTTGGCATCGGCGTGGAGACCAGGTAGAGGGATGGAGATCAAAGAAATAGAAGATAAAAGGTATATCTTTATTTTTAATCACCCTGTGGATATGAAGCGTGTGATTAAAGGCGGACCATGGCAGTTTGAGAGGAATCTATTGATTGTTAAAGAGATCAAACCTACTGATATTCCTCACAAGATTATTCTGAATGAGGCCGAATTCTGGGTTAGGGTTCATAACATTCCTTATGGTCTGTTGAACTTAGGTACTGCTAGGAAAGTGGATAATTTTTTGGGTAAGTTTGTTGATTATGATAAGAATAAATATGGGGAGCAGTGGATGCCATATTTGCGTGTTAAAGCTTGTGTTAATGTGGAGTTCCCCCTGAAGAAGGGTACAATGCTGAAAAAAGAAGGGGTGGGATATTGGGTAGATTTCCAATATGAGAAACTTCCCAATTTTTGCTTTATTTGTGGGGTTATGGGGCACCCTGAAAAGTTCTATCCTCTTATGTATGAGGAGGGACTTGTACTAGAAAAGAGTTTTGATGCGTCTCTCAGGGTAGGTGGAGTGAGGACCAGCCCTACAGGAAAAAATAAATGGTTGATTGGGGAGGACTCGAGTTCGGGATGGGAGAGCCAGGGGTGGAAGGAGCAAGGAAAAGTAGGAATATCACTGAGGGATATAATGAAGATGCAACTGACTCAGGTAGTACTTCCAATAAGGAAGTGGTTCTGAAACAAAGTGAAGAAGATTCGGGAGAAAAGAGTAGGCGGACTTGGGAAATAGAGACAACTCAAAACCAGGACACCGAGGAGATGACTCTGGATAATACAAAAAACGGGGAGGCGACGGACTTAGAGGGGTAAGCTCGTCAAGAGTGTGGGTGTTACAGATGAAGATGGGTTGGTGTTGCGGTGTGTTTGTTCGTGCCTTTGGTTGCTGTTTCTTTTTCTGTTGTGTTTTTTCTGTTTCTGGCAGGATTTGTATTTCCTTTTGCTGTTTTCTTTGTTTTTCTGATTGTAATACATTATGTTTGGATTTGGTGGTAGGGGATGATTTAACTAGGATTACCGTCACTGGCTCAGTTGTGCCCTTTTTTTGGATCAGTGAGTTATATTATTGAGGTGATTGACCCCGACTCTGGTTTGCGGGACGACGGTTTTCTTAAGTTACTTTGTCTGTTTTTCTGCTTTCCAAATGGTTGTTAGAACAGGAGGATAAAATAATATATTATAAGGGTATGAAATATGGCTGGACCGGATATCACTTCTAATCACGTATGAAATACGCTTTTCTAAAAGTTTACTATATACCCTTAATCATAGTAACCGGGTTACAAGATAGAACTTTTGGGATAAAAAGAAGGTGTATAGTGTATTTTGGCTACTGACAAAATAACACAAAACAAGTGATATGTATATAAAGTAGTCTAAATACTTTATCACTAAAACTGCAGATAATAGAGATCTCATGTGCAAATTTGCTAAACAGAATACAATAACTAAATAAAAACTAAACAACATTGATCCATGTTCCACACAGGGGCGTAGCCAGGACACTGGGCTAGACTGGGCCGGTACAAAGAATATTATTGGAAAAAAATTTACACGAAATTTTTTACACTAAAAATATTGACATTTTTCAAATTTGGGGTGGGCCTAGCCTGGGCACCCCTTAGCTCCGCCCCTGGTTCCACAGACCATGCACAAGGGCACAAGCAAGCCAACCTGCAGTCTACGGAATGTATAAACCACATAACTTTAGTGTATCAATGTGTGTTGGCGGTTTAGGCGTGTAGGCGGTCCTAACTTAATGGGCTACCGGTCTGGACCTATTTTCCAGGTTTGACCCGGACCAGACCGGAAACCCGGAATCGTAAAAATATAAGAACCGCAACCCGGAACTGTTTATACTGGTCCGGACCGGTCCATTCCGGTCCGGTTCAGGTCTGAAATACGGTCCGGCCCAGTTAATGCACACCCCTAACTGTCAACACTGTCCATGCATAAATGTGACCCCCAAATGTATTACTTATAGATTACTTCAAACGAAAATTAAAGGTCACACGTCATACGCGAATAAACATAATGACAATTTGTAATGCTGTTACACAAATATATAGGGTGATCGAGAATAAAAAAGGGTGAGGATAATGAAATTAAAGACAAAATATAGTAATATACTAATGGTGAAATCTTGAGAGTAACGCAATACTACTAAAATCCAATTTATATCTTTCCATCATTAGCTATCCAGTCAGTGCTAGGAGTGCTCTGAGGAGGTGTGTCACTCCTTTTTTTAGCGTAACCCAACGTAATATATATAGGATTATTTTAATTAATTACATTCATAGCAGCAGCTGCAATAGCGGTCATTGTTATGACATGTCAAGAAACCCCATAATGCGCAACACCTACATACATTCGCATATTGAATCACAAGGACGTATAAGGGACAAAATTAAAGTGTACGTATTATATGACGTGACATAAAGTTATACGGAGTAAGAGACAAATAATGTAAGTACTCCCTCCGTCCTGAAAACAACTTCCCACTTTCCTTAAATGGATGTCCCAAAATTAACTTCACACTTCAATATTTTCTTTATTTGGCAAATTATCTACATCAAAAAAGTGATAAACAGTGCCAAACAGTGTTTAAACAGTGCCAAACAGTGTTTAAACAGTACAACATAGTGCATTCTACAGTAAAGTCAAATTTATTTCCTAAAAGTGTGTGAAAGTCCAACCGGGAAGTTGTTTTCGGGACGGAGGGAGTACTTCATTCTTAAGTAAATGCAACCGTCAATTTTTTACATTTGTCGAGACACTACTTTGACCATTAATATATATAATTCTTTATTAATTAAAACATTAAAAACATTAGATTTTGAAAAATTAGAACGAGAAAAATTTAACAATATATTTTCAAAAATATTTATTATTAATATATTAATAAATAAAATATGTGAATAATGTAAAATTCAACTTGTTGCATTATTTAAGAACGGAGACAATATTATATAAGGTAGGTTTTATTTTCGAAACAAGCATAATTTTAATTAAATTTGAAGCAGAGGGCAGACTACAATTTTGTACAGCCCGCCTCGTCATTTTCTCCCTTTGGCATTCTTCGGAAAAACTTCTTTTTGGGTAGGAAGATCTCTGTGGCAGGATAACCTTCAAAATAAAAAGGGCAGTAACTGATGAAGTGGATCGATATATATAATTTTCCTTTTCACACGTATTTGTGCATTTGCAATTTAAATTAAATCTAACTACATTTATCATATGGGCATCTTATTTAGATTATCATTTGTTTATTATTTAACTTTTAACAAATTATAAATGGTCCAATTAGTATACCTTTTTGCTAAAACGTGTATACATATACATATAGTATATGTATTAATTATAATGTATAGTGCATTTAACATGACAGTATTTATTATAATTAATTAATGACAATATTTTTCATGCATGACAGTAATAACTCCTATTTCGAAAAAAAATATAGTAATCATATTTTGAAATTTCAAACCTAATTTATTCCTATTTAAGGCAATTTCCCTATATATACATACCGTAATACATACCTGTAGGCTTAAGTTGGATAGTCTGGTCTGTTTCAATTGTCATGGTTTCGGCCTTCTACCCAATGCAAGATATGAATGATACTGCTACTGCGATCGATTGCTAGTTTAGATAGTTCTCTATTTATAAGGAAATATTGTGGGCTCGAGTAAATATTACAGAATAAGTGGAAAGTGTCCCGTGAGAATAAATATTATAGAATAAACAAGTAAACAACTACTCGAGTACCTAGCTTTAGTGTTGCACAGACGTTGAATCTCATGGTATATTAGAGTGGCGTCATGTATGACGTTTGTATATGACATCATATATGATGTCATATATGTTATATACTTCCTCCGCTCCTATCTCTGTCTCATTTTATTTTATATTTTTATTTGTTCGTCTAACTAAGTTTGTCTAATACAACTCCCTGCGTCTCGAGAATGTTTGCCAAATTGACTTTTCTTGATCAATGACAATCAAGTTTGATCGATCAATGATATTTTTAATAAGAAATAATTATTCTCAATATGAAAATTATATCAAAATATTCTTGATTCAAAATATTTTTCGTAAAAGTACAAGATTTATAAGTTATCTAAAGATATACTTTCTCCGTTCCGAAAAGATTCGCCAAATTGACTTTTGTTGGTCAATGACAATCAACTTTGACCAAGAATATTTTTTAATACAAAATTATTTTGAATATCAAAATTATATCAAAATGTTGCTTATTCAAAATATTTTCATAAAATTATAAATTTATAAATTATATACAAATATAATAATTAAAAAACATTGTTCAATGTTTACCATCATTGACCAAGAAAAGTCAATATGGCGACCCTTTTCGAGACGGAGGTAGTAATAATTAATTAAAATCGGTGTCCAAAAATTGGCATCATTGACTAAGAAAAGTTAATATAACAAACATTTTCTTAATACTTAGTCAACACGAATCATTCTTAATGGGACAATAGGAGCGGGACGAAGGTGGAATCAAACAGACAATTCTTCTTTTCTTAAAAACTCCACCACTCCTTGTTCCATCACTACTACATTTTTGGGCCTATTGTAACATTAAAATTGTAACAGTTGCTTAAAATGTTACAATAGATCAGCCTATTGTAATGGTTTTGAATGTATCGTTACACTAGATACTATCTTCATGTAACACTTCTATTGTGTTCGGTAGAGTGTTACATTCCTTTGATAATTGTTACCTTTAATTGAAGCTAATGTAACACCTTTAATATCTAATGGAAAAAATGAGTGCCAGGATATAAACTTGGGCCATTAAGAAGCCCAAGCCCAAAGTTAGAAGCGATCAATTAAAATGCCCTAAGATAACTAAAAGCTAAAGTATTGAAGCACTTCCTTAGACATGGCAGAAGGGTGGGTATTGGTACACTCAACATCTTCGTTTTTTTCAGTTTTTCTTCCTGGAATCCCTTCCCCAATTCTTATTTCATTTATTATTCATCAACGAAGAGATGCTTGGATACCTGCTAGCTTAACAGTACCTGCTAGCTTAGCCGGCGACGGACGACTTGGAGAAGCTCTGAATCGCGATGTACTCTTCTCGAGCTCAGGTTTCATCAGCTTCTTCCATCTTTTTCACTATCTAAGTCGGGTAATACATGACTCACGTCTTCTTGTATTCCATGAATTTTCTCGTTTGGACCTTCCAGGGTTTTGAACCCTAGACTTTTAAATTTTTTCTTAATATTTGTGCCCGTTCTTAGATTTCTACGCAGTGTATCATTTGTGGTCTCCCCTGATTTTCTCTCTTTATTCATTCATGGATGGCTTTATTAAAGTTGGGTTTAGAAATTCAAAGGTTATACATATCAGAATTTTGTCAGTTGTTTATTGTTTAGTGCAACCTTGTTTTTGCTCTCTGCTTTTTAGGAGCTTGCTCTATAAATCTTCTATGGGTTAATCAAGTTCAAGAAGGATAAGAGCAACCATACGTTAGTTCTGCACAAAAAGTGTTCGAAGAAATGTCTAAACTAGAAAAGCGGGTATTTTTTCTTCTTCCTCTTCATGATTTCACCCAAGATGTTATTCTGTTCCTTGCAACATTTTCGTGTTATTCTGTTCCTTGAATCATAAACTATTTAGATTATAAGTTTTTTTGTTATATATCCTATTGTTTTGATACAATAAAGAAGATAGAATATTTAACACCATTCATATTATATCCCTACTTCTTAAGGGACAACTAGTGGAACTCAATTGGGAAAAATTAATTAGCCTTTGTTTCTTCATCACTGATACAATTCTTTCTTAAAGTTGTTGCTAGCTAGTTGCTGAGGTGATTTGTTGGCAAAAATCTTTAATTTGCCTTGGGTTTTTCTCCACCTTAGGTGCTCCAATGGGTTCTTATACGAAACAGTATGTATGGTTAGTTGTTTCAAAGATGTGAGTTCTAACTCTAGTCCCAATACATACCTGCTCCTATATATACTGATATTTTGGATGCTAATATTTTGAAATATTTACTTTACAGATAAGAAATTCTTCCGGCATATGGAGATGAAAAGAATGGAACTGGATAATGGAAGGTCTCGCCTTACAAAACTAGATGAGAAATTGGCATGGATGCCTCAAAGGATGAGAAATCTATATACTACCTCCGTCCCAGGGACAAGTTCCCACTTTCCTTTTTTGGCAGTCCCAACAAAAAGTTCCTATTTCCCTAAATGGAAAGTTATCCTACATCAAAACTGTCACGCCCCGGACCTACCCGGACACGTCAACAACCCGCCGTACAGTACGAATAGTCAACCGCAGTCCAACTCGTCCATACTATACAAGGCGTCTTGAATACCATTCACAATAGTACATCCATAAACAATCATAATGTAAAATAATTAATTAAAGCAGCGGAAACATTAATATAATATCCGAGCCACACGTGGCAAACACGGGCATACAAGCCCCAAATAAATATTCAAAATAATATCCATGAGCATTATTTAGATTGTTTTCAAAACAGAAACGGAAGAAGCACGAACCACGTCTTCTTCCCTTGATCTCCCCGAAGCAACGGGTGGTGGCAGCAACTCTTCAAGTTCTACCTGAAACTGTGAGGTGGCCTCCCCCGTGAAGGGGAGGTCAGTACTTGGAAGCATTTGACAAGTACAATGACAACTATACTAAGTATAATCAATGTTTCAATTTCTTAAGACCCTCAAATAGAGTGATATTATATCGTAGGCCGTAACCCCCGGTTACCCTGTTTTATGAATATACTTACTTTATATAAAGTCAAGTAGTCGGCCCGTGGGCCCATATTCATTTAGAATTTACCATTTTCACTTTCCGTGACCATGAGTCACGACAACCCCATAGGGTTCCCTCGAGTCCCGATTGTATAGCAAGGGCTCGGCCCAACTACATTTCTATACAATCCTTTAACTCAATTTAATATATCTAAATTTGTATGGCAAGGGCTCGGCCCAACTACGTTTCCATACCAACCATAACTTCATGGCAAGGGCTCGGCCCAACTACGTTTCCATGAAGATCACAATGCATGGCAAGGGCTCGGCCCAACTACGTTTCCATGCTAGTCACATTACATGGCAAGGGCTCGGCCCAACTACATTTCCATGTAATCCTAGAGTCCGACTCTAATTTATTTCCATAGCTCAATTCTCAAGCAAATCCTATGCCTAGAATCAATTCACTTGGATAGCCTTTTGGCCTACCCCTAACACACCGTAGTGTTCATACAATTTGACCTTAAAGCATCTCTTAAGACTACTTAAGGCATATCTATTCACAATCCTATCTCTTAGGATTAATTCCATCATTTATTTATATAAATCTCCCGACTAGTATTTCGATACTAGTCGAATAACCTTAGAACAACCAAGTTCTAAGTTCATAGCCAAATGGTTTATCTCAATTGATTTTCCAATCCAAATATGATGTAATCCCAATATCAAAAATATCACTTTTATCCATTCATGAATTTCATACATGAAGTAAAAGTATATTTTATCACAATTTTCATAGTTAATTCCATTACCATACCATTTCTTTCATATCACATAATCATACACAATTTCTTACAAATTTGTATATTATGCTCTTTTCCTTATAGACAATAGTCTTCTCATTCTTAGGCATTATTAATCATTAATAATCCTTAAAAACATATTTAATTACCTTAGGTAATCTCATGAAATTAACCCAAAGATTATAAGCAATATAGTCAGCCATCCTCACCTTATGAAGTGCTGAAATAGTTGCCTCTGTTAAGCCCTTCGATCAATCCCCGTTCTAAACCGATTGGAGATGAAAATTCTGGACAGCAGCCAAAAGCCGGGCGGCTTTCACAAAAGCCGGGCGGCTTTCGTGGTCTGCAGCTACGAACAGCTTCCTTCAAGTGGCGGTTTCCGATGGTTTTGGCTCCTATCGATTCCCCAACTCTTCTAAGTTAATTACCACCACTTTATATCAATATTATACACTTTTAAACGTGTATAAACTCATGTTTAATCCATCATATGATTTCTTAAAAATCATACAATAAGATACTAGTTAGGAGCTTGATTGTTGAGTTCTTACCTCAAACACCACTCTTCTCTTCTTGGATTTTCTTTGTTGGTGCTTCCTTCAAGCTGGAGCTTTGTGAGAGTTTCTCCCCTGAGCTCTCCCTCCTCTTGGATGGTTCGTATGGCTCAAAATGAGAGGAGAGGATATCTATCCTCAACCAAATCACTCCCAAGACAAGTCCAACATGGGGTGTGTGGACTTTGTCTCCATGATGCTCCCCTCCTTCTTTTGCACGCACAAGTCAAAATGTGTGGCCCCTCCTCCCTCATTATTTGAGTCAAATTAGGGTGTAGGATACCCCAAGTGGGTGTAGGAAGTCCCGCCCAATTATTCCTGTTATTTCTGGCCGGCCGGGTCAAAATAGCGCTCGGGTTGTCCAACTATTTTTATCAACTTCGGTTGGCATTTTATTTGGCTACTATAATTATTATGATAACCCAACTAAATATTTGGTAGCCCATTCTCATATAATGGACCCGATATATAATTTAATTAATCATGCATTAATTAAATACACCAATCAATTACACGAATTTTATTCGCTAGGAAAATCAAATACATATCGTCTTCCAATTTCAAGTACATACGGGCGCGGTGTCACAAGTTCACCCCCCCTTAACGGGAATTTCGTCCCCGAAATTCACAAATGCTTATTCAAACAGAAATGCATATTGCTCCTTCATTAAGGCTTCCGTTTCCCAAGTTTCTTCTTCAACTCGGTCACTTTTCCAAAGGATTTTCACCATTGGAACTTTCTTGCTCCTTAGTTTCTTTACTTGCCTATCAAGTATTCTCACTGGTCGTACGGCGTAGTTCAAATCTTCACGTATTTCCACGGGTGGTTTCTCTAACACGTGAGACGGATCCGGCACATATTTTTTCAGCATAGACACGTGGAACACATTATGTATCTTCTCCAATTCTGGAGTCAACTGCAATCGGTATGCTACGGCCCCAATTCTCTCAAGAATCACAAATGGCCCAATATATCGTGGGTTAAGTTTCCCTCGGCTCTGAAATCGGATGATTCCCTTCCAGGGTGAAACCTTCAAGAATACCTCATCTCCCACCTTAAACTCTAAGGCTCTCCGGCGTTTATCGGCATAGCTCTTCTGTCTATCCTGGGCCGCCTTAAGCCTATCACGAATCATCTTCACCTTTGACTTGGTGATCTCCACCAATTCTGTGCTCTCAAGCTTGGCCATGCCAACCTCGTCCCAACACAACGGTGTACGACATCGCCTCCCATACAATGCCTCGTATGGAGGCATGCCAATACTCGCCTGATAACTGTTGTTATAGGCAAACTCTACCAGTGCTAGATGGTTGTCCCAACTTCCTTGGAACTCCAATGCACAAGCTCTCAGCATATCCTCTAAAATCTGTATGACTCTCTCGGATTGTCCATCCGTCTGTGGATGAAAAGCAGTGCTAAACTTCAATTTCGTTCCCATAGACTCTTGGAACTTCGGCCAAAATCGTGATGTGAATCGTGGATCCCTGTCGGACACAATGGTTATAGGAACCCCATGTAGCCTCACGATCTCATCCACATACAATTTGGCTAACCTCTCAAGTGCATAGGTAGTGTTGATAGGTAGAAAATGTGCACTCTTCGTGAGCCTATCAACCACAACCCATACGGCATCGTAATTCCTCACGGTCCGTGGCAGTCCTACCACAAAATCCATGGTCACGTGTTCCCATTTCCACTCTGGAATGGAAAGTGGTTGCAATAACCCCGCTGGATGCTGATGTTCTGCCTTGACTTGCTGACAAGTAAGGCATCGACTGATGTATTCGGCTATCTCCCTTTTCATGCCTGACCACCAGTAACTCTCTTTCAAGTCACGGTACATCTTCGTGCCCCCCGGGTGCATGGCATAAGCCGACGAATGAGCTTCCTCTAAGATGGACTTTCGGAGCTCATCATCTGCCGGTACACACACTCGGTCACGAAATAATAGGAGACCATCGTCTCTTTCCCTGAAATCTTCAACCGGTCCCGCTAGCATGCGTTCGCGGACCTTCATAAGCTCTTTGTCAGTCTCTTGACCCTTCTTGATCTCATCGAGTAAGGTAGGCCTCACCTCGAATCTAGCTAACAAAGCACCGTCGCTAGATACCTCCAATTGGGCTCTTAATGCCCTCAAACTAGTCAACAATGCCCCAGACGAACTCTTTCGGCTCAAGGCATCCGCCACCACGTTGGCTTTACCGGGGTGGTACTCAATGATAAGATGGTAGTCTTTTATCAACTCCATCCATCGCCTCTGTCTCATGTTCAGCTCTTTCTGAGTGAACACGTATTTCAAACTCTTATGGTCAGTGTATATATGACATGTCTCCCCGTAGAGATAATGTCTCCAAATCTTCAGTGCAAATACCACTGCCCCCAGCTCTAAATCATGAGTAGGGTAGTTTACCTCATGCTTCTTCAACTGTCGTGAAGCATAGGCAATTACCCTCCCATTCTGCATCAACACACATCCAAGCCCTTGGATGCTCGCATCGCTATAGACATCGTACCCCATACCCTGTTTGGGTAATGCGAGTACCGGTGCCTCAGTCAATCTCCTCTTTAGTTCAATGAAACTTTTCTCACATTTGTCATCCCATACAAACTTAGCTCCTTTACGAGTGAGCTTTGTCAATGGCGACGCCAAAACAGAGAACTTCTCCACGAACTTTCTGTAGTAGCCTGCTAACCCAAGAAAACTACGAATTTCCTTGACGTTCTTTGGCCTCTCCCATTCGGTAATGGCTTCTATCTTCTTGTTATCAACCGCAATTCCCGATCCCGACACCACATGCCCGAGAAAGCCAATCTCCTTTAGCCAAAATTCACATTTAGAAAATTTGGCATAGAGTTGCTTCTCCCGTAGCGTCTCGAGAACAAGTATCAAGTGCTCCTCATGCTCTTCTTCGCTCTTTGAGTAAATCAAGATGTCATCTATGAACACAATCACGAATCGGTCCAAGTATTTATGGAATACTTGGTTCATCAAGTCCATGAATGCCGCGGGGGCGTTTGTTAACCCAAACGACATAACAAGGAATTCAAAATGCCCATACCTTGTGCGGAAAGCACTTTTTGGTATGTCATCTTCCTTGATCTTCAATTGATGGTACCCCGACCTCAAGTCAATCTTTGAAAATACAGTTGCTCCTCGGAGTTGATCAAACAAGTCATCAATCCTAGGCAAGGGATACCTATTCTTGATTGTGACCTTGTTCAGTTGACGATAGTCAATGCACATTCGAAGTGTTCCATCCTTCTTCTTCACGAAAAGGACCGGTGCTCCCCACGGGGAGTGACTTGGTCTAATGAAACCGTTGTCCAAAAGCTCTTGCAATTGGGTTTTCAACTCATTAAGCTCAGCGGGTGCCAT